CGTTTTTCCCGCCACTCTGCCAAACTGTTTACCCTGTCCGTGCACGTGCAAATGGATGGATTTTCTCTTCTCGCGCACACACACCTCAAGCCTCCTCCACCGTACTGATTTATTCATCGAGTTGCAAGCGAGCGAATCACTTTCGAAAATTTATTCCGAGAGCCAAATTGTGTTTCGCAGCAGCTCTCGTCGGTGTTTACGCGCCTCGGCCCCATCCATTAGTGTGCGCCCAAATCGCGCCAATCGATTTGCAGCAAGGGTGTCTATCGTTGATGAGAAAGGCTGCCTCGATAAATTCGGTGACGAAAATTGGCCCTCATTTGCATTGCACACTTCAATTTGAGAAGAGGAAACTTGCATGGGATTATCAATATTTTTTCTCACGAGCTCAACCCTGTTAAAATTCTGAAACTTTCATAAATAATTTAGTTGTAAAATTTATATTTCAAAACTGTAGGCAAAAATTTGTAGTACACATGGTAATATACAGCTTAAAAGTTTATTTTGTGACAAGAAAAATATATATCAAGTTTTCTTATCTTGAATTATTTTCAAAATTTATTACACCAAATTTTCTTTACATGTTTGATCTACTTTATTCATTATTTTAATTAAATTAACGGACAGTTTTCATAGAATCAAAGCATAATTTAAAATTTTTATATGCACAGTTAAATTTTTTGAAATCCAGTATGCTATGCAAAGTTATTGTCATAGTCATAATCTAAGATAAGAATAGACGATTTTGATATGTAGCAACTTTTAAATTCCTACATTTTATTAATCGCCTCTCCTCAAGTTACAATAGGCATTTAGTATCTACTTGCAAAAAACGTATGTGCAACAAAAGCACTCCGGAACAAAAGTAATTGGCCTCTTTCCTTCCTTCTCTCTCGCTTCGTTCAGCCCCTAGCAAAGTTTCCTTCGTCCTCTCCACCCCTTCATGCACTTCTCGTAACTGCTCGTCTCAACGAGTGGCGTATCCAATTCAATTCCCTCCAATTAATCTGAAACGCTAAGGAGCCAGTTGAGCAACAGAGTATTTTTTTTCTTCTTACATTTGCCGACTCTAGTGGCCTGGAAGCAAATCAAGGTAGCCCACCCGCCCGACGTACAGAGCGATCTGGTTGCATACAATCGACGCATCAAGGCGTTCGACCAGAGCGTTTTCCATGATGGCGGACCATTGAGAAAAAGCATGGAAGTGCAACTTGAGACGCGTTTTATGCTTTTGAGCACTCCAGAGAGGGACAAAAGGGAAAAATGCAAATGCACTCGAGTACTTCGCATTGTTGCAATGTGAGTTGCAACATCCAAAGCACGATGCAACAATGCTGAAAATGTGAATATCTGGGATAAAAAAAAGAAACGCGATGAAATTAATAGAGAACTTTCTATCTAAGAAAACTTTACTCTGTTTTCTTTTCTTATTAAAGGAGGGGCTTTTGCTAAAATAAAAAATTGGTCTCATTAATTTTGATGATTATTTTTCTTTACAATAGCATTGGTTTGAAGATGTAATTTCCAAGGAAACGTCATAAGAAAAATTTAACTTATTAGGAGAAATGAATTTTTGAAAATGAATCAAATTGCGAAAATTAAATCAATATCTCAACAGAAAATTTTCATTGATCTTTTAAAGAAAACGGTTCTGTTAACATTTTTCAGTCCAGGTACCACACACGCTTCTCATAAATAACAATTTTTCTTTTGTTTTATGAGCATTTTTATTTTTTAAATTACTTATTTTGCTAAAGCCATGATAGAATATATTTCGTTAATTTAATTAATATCTAATTGTGCAGAGAAAACTCAAAGTTTTTGTTCCATTGCAAGCAACGTACTGGGTAATCCTCCTTTTTACTTTTAGCTGTAAACACGTTAAGGTTTATAAAGAGCTTGGAAATTTCACACGTTGGAGGGCTTTTGACGCAAATTCCGTCTTTTGTGTTAACGATGCGCAAATAAGTGGCAGCCCGGACGGCTTGCGAGCATAACAAGCGGCGGCGCTGCATAATTCCTGAGCGACATGATTGGCTTTGCCGGTATACGAGCGAGCTGCTATATTCATTTTTGCACCGCCACTTCCGAGCACAATGAATAATTTATCAACCTTTTGCGCTCGCCCGACACACACGCGCTCACAAAAAGTGGCAGCCGGGAAAGAGAGCGAGAGAGAGTAAATCAAGGCTCAAAAGACGCGTGCACGCGGTAAATTTTTATAAAATGCAAACGCCGCTTTCTCTCCCTCGTCCGCCATTATGTGGCTGCTTTTCTTCCTCATCTCTCTCTTCTTTCTCTCGCATTTTTATGCCCGGCTATAAATCAATCAATTATTCGTGCCAGAGCGAACACTTCTCTGGCAAACAATATCACTCCACCGGCGTGAGTGAGTGAGCGCCAGGGCCACAGCTATGCCCATCGATTTTCAACATCTGACGGCGAGAACGTGTGCGAATATACCAAAAACCACCTCACAAAACTATCATTGTTTGATTAATCTGAAATTTTATTTTTAAAAGCTGCACTAATTAATATAGATATTGAAATAACCTGGTATCATTAAACATTATTGGAAACTAGTTTAACAAATAACTAGTAATAATTAACGCTGATTTAAAGTTTGATGCGTTCTGGGTTCCAACACCGTTGAGCAGAAACAGGTTATTTGATTTTTCGCATTTTTTAAACTTAAAGTAATATATATCCATTAATAATGTTAATTAATAATTTGCATATCTTTGGGACTCACTGAAGCTTAATAAAACAAACGAAATTGAATTTTTTTCTGATATTCAGCATTAAACTATACCTGCATTGCTAAAAATTTATACAAAAAAAGTCATTATCTCAGTGTAAATATTTATAAAATATGGTATATATTACATATGAACTTAAAATAACATCTATTTTATAAAAAAAAATAAAATTAATTTAAATAATAATTTATAGTAAAAAATGTGTTAAAATGTTTGTTTTTGTAGCTCAACAAAAAATAAGATTATAATTTCTAAAAAAATAAAACATAATTTTGATTCAATATTAAAAGTAGTTTGTTACACTTGAAATTTAATAAATGCATAAATCATGTTTATTTGTATAAATTTTTTGCAAATTTGATTATTTACTCTTTTTATGGAAAATTGAGATGCATCCACAACAATTGATGCAAAATGAAATCAGCCACTTTAATAAATCGGACTTTAAAAGGTTAAAGTCAAGCAATGGCAGGAATTTTAATTTTGCACTTCATTCACAATGAGTCGCCGCGAACACTTTCCGTCGGCAAGCAGGCGAGACTTTATTAATTTTCACGCCGGAGAATGCGATGGTTGGAGAGGCAATTGGTCGCGGTGCTTTGGCATCGTAATTGCACCAGAGCGAACCGGCCGGATGATTGCTCTGCAAGTGGGTCACGTCTGCCTGCAGCTGCAGCCGCTGCACCATCGGCACTAAACTATTTTCCATCCTGGCTGCCTCATCGAACTGCTTCCGCGCACCGGCCACTATAAATTGGCTCGAGATGTGCAACTGTGTGTGTGTGTGTGGCCATTCATATTGGATCCGGCCGGGACGTGCTGGCCGGGCAATCTCGCAATAACCATAAATTATCAGGACCGTCTGTCGCTTAAAATATAAAGTCTGTTTTTGGACTTCTTTTGTTACTTGCAACAAAGGAACGTAATATTGAAGTGCAAACGTCACCTCAGTTCAAATCGTAATTTTTTTTCAAGAATATTTGGCCAAAATTCCATCAAACGTATAGTTAAAAGGGCTTAATCTTAAGATCTATTTGATTTTTATCTATTTTATTATCTTTTTTTGTAGAAATTCAACGTTTTCCCATTTTTTAATTGGGTTCAAAAAAATTTCTTAAAATTTTGCCATCTGCATTTTAAATACTGTTTAATAAAACACGAGTCACCATATCCTGACATTAAATTACTCAAGTTATGGAACAATTTGTAAAGCCTCCTGGAATTTTAATAATGAAAAATTCTGCCATTCAAAGAACTTGAGATAAAAATAGTGCAGGACCTGTTAACTTGATTTGGCATGAGGCATAATCAAATAAATAAATAAGAGACACATGGAACAAAATAATAACATGAATTTAATTTTTTCTTTTTGAGGAGAAGTGTGTCATGTTGGTTAATGCTTTTGTACATTTAACACTATTTGCTCTGACGTCACAAATGACACAAATAAAGTTAGTTCTGCTAAAATTTATTCCTTTATCTCTGGTTAGTTCTGTACCAGCACTCGAACCGAACCAAGAGTTTGTACTCTTCTTTTCCAGTCCCAGATTAATTAAGGGCCCAAAGTGTGAGTCGGCAGTCGTAGGGCAACCTAAGCCGAAACAAGCAAAGCGAACTGTTGATTCGGGGAGTCGCAAACGTGACAAAAAGGTTTAATTAGTTTTGATTTTTTTGAAAAACTGTCAGTTCATACTTTCATTTTTAAGATTTTTTCTATGTAAATTAGATTTTATGAAAAGAAAGACATTTTTTCTGCAAGGAAGCTTATCATTGAAGAATTTTTAGAAACTGCTTTTAAGAGAAAAAATACACACGTGAAGGTAAAAAGACTTTGGAATTCATATCTACCACCTCTCACATTAAAAAAAAGCAAACAAACAATGTCACCGGAGCGGAAAAGAGTCCCCCTCAGTGGGGAATTGAAACAAAATATATTACATATGCAACAAATAAACGCACGTCATTTTTTATCGAGAGGGTGGCAGCGCGTGTGATCAATTGCTCTTTTGGCCTCTGCTCCGCGACCCTGATGCTATTTGGAGTGGCAAATTCAGAATATTGATGAAATATTGCCCCTCGACATCAGCCCGGAGAGTCGCGCAATAAATAATCAATATGGACGCCCTTTCACAAACACACACGCGCGCGTCCTCCTCCTCCTCCTGCGAGTGATTTTAAATAATTAATCAACTCAAAAATAATCGATTGCGGTGAGACTGATTTTTAAATTTGTGTTCGCAGATCACATGCAGACGCTGTGCAAAAATCACTTCCTGCAGCAGCAGTACCGCAAGACGGACGGCGCGGTGCTCAGGTCGCAGAACGAGCGCAACCTCGACTGTGTCCTCACCTTCCAGACGCACTCCATTCTCCAGAGATTCATGCTTCGCTTCGACCTTCTGCAGTTGGACTGCAACGACCACCTCTTCATCTACGACGGCGCGCACGCGGTCGGCAGCTACAAGGTCAGAAAAAAAATTTACTTTCTTGAATGATTCTATCGTTTTGGGCTGGTGTTAAATTTTTCTGTAAATTTAATCAGTTTAATTTTTATTCTAAGGTATTGATTAAAAAAAAATGAAATTTAATTAGGTATAATGAAAATTTAAGAATAAAAATGGCTTTGATAAGACTGATTTTACTGAGGACCAGTTTTTTTATTTCAAAATGAAGTCCTCTGGGGCTTGATGGGGTTTGATGCACACTTTTTGACGCCAACAAAGAAGCTCAATTTTTAGCCTTCATATAAAATCTAAATTTTTGATAAGCACTGCAACCCCTAAACCACCCTGAACTTTTATTAATTTTTAGTTGAATTTTCACAAACGAGGGTTGATTCATGGTGAGTTGAGGTCGGCTTTTCCTTGATAGGTATTGTTTTTCCAAAATAATAAAAGACTAAACATATAAAATAAATTAAGAGTTTAACTTTAAATTTAACTTGCATTTCTTAATTTTTTTATTTTTTATTTCCACTTTTATTATTACTGATTTTAATTTATTTAGTTCCTTTTATTTTTATTATCTATAAGTTTTCTTCATGCTGTTTCATCCATGTGAAGAATTTTGACTTCACTAAGTAAGAAACAAGATAAGCTTTGATAATAAAAAATTGTATAATTAAATGAGTAGGTCGTGTCTGCTACACAAAAATTATAACTACTCATCTCATTTTGCCAATGATGATGTATTTAAATTAACGAATTGAATACATTAGATAATATTTGAACACAACTAAGGTGAACTAATTTTGATAACGCGTTCATCATAAGTATCATTATAAAGTTAACAACTCAAATATCAAATTAGTAACTTTTGACAAAAAGCCTTTTACGTGGAATTTCGTTCCGAGACACAAGATACTGAGACTCGGAACGTAATTTTATGTAAAAGGCGTTTAGTTAAAAGCTATTAATTTAATTATTTCCCGTGTTGAGTGGTTTCTTTTCTGTGGGTTTTAAATTCTCAAAAAAACTCAAAGATCATCTAAAACAATATCTTGCATAAATTTAATCCTCTATATTGAAATTTTAGTATCAAATTATCCTTTTCCTGTTATCCTTGACTAAAGACATACCCTCTAAAGCCGATTTAAATGCTTAAAAAGTTTAATTATTCTAATCTGATCCGTCAAAGATATCAATTAAGGTGACCTAATAAATAAGAGGCTCGCGGTCCATTTTAATATTTTGATGTTATTTTTATTAGTTTTTTCATAATTAATTTTTTATTTTAAATAATTTGGCAACACAACTTAACTTGTATAAACACATTGAAGACAGACTTTGCAACTTTTGCGAAACAAATTAACCCCTCTGTTTACGTTTTGTCGCCCTGTTCTTGCAGCGGTTGACCCGCAGGTCTCTCATCCTCACACATGCATACGCAGAAAGTGACACGCAGCGGTGTTTTATCATTTCAGGCGGACCTCTCGTGCCGGAACACCAAACAGTCTGTGGGCGCTGTGTTCACGCGTACAAATTTCGTGACCCTCAAGTACGTGACAGACGCCTGGGGTACGGAGAATAACGGCTTCAAGCTCATCATTACCGCCATCAAAGACCCAAGTGAGTACAACCCTTGCTCTCCGCAGCCTCCGTATAAACAGACGCACGAGCGTGGACCATGTTAAATAGTCTCGGTGGCGCGCGCCCGGCCATGATTTACGGTCCCGGCCTACACCTGTGCTAATTCGCCAGTCCTAAAACATCCCGGCCACGTTCGCGCGCCTCGTTTCCGATCGATTTTTGATCCTGCTTTTCTGCTTAATGCCTTTCAATCCCCATTGATTTTAATAATAATGCACTTTGAAGTTCAACTTTTTTTTAAACGAATTCAAAATTGTGTTTTTATTTCTTGAAATATAATATTTTGTCTCTCTCCAAGTGCTAAAATATATGCAATGAATTAGTCATTTGTCAATCATATTCATGAAATTGAAATACTTGTCCCTAAATTCAAATTTTAAATAAAACTCGATAACCGCCCTGAAGAAGTTTTTTTTTTTTTTAAATGCAATTGAAGTTTAAATGTCACACACCAAGCTTATTTTTAATTGTTAAAAATGACCGTCCTAGGTTTAATTATGACAGCAATTTAAATCAGTTGATGCTACAAAATTTTTTATACTTGTTTTAAAGCTCCTTAAAATCAATAATAATGAATTCAAATTTAATTAGTTTTATTGTAAAAAAAAATTAAAAAAAATATTGTTTATTTAATTTTGGCTTTAAAATTACCTCAGTAAGTATTGAATAATGAATATTGTTATGCTTGAATAAGGACAACAAATTTGGCACCTGCACAAAATAAAATTTCTCTAAAAATAGCCAATTAAAAAATCAGCGCCCCACGCTATATTGTTCAGCCATGCGCAAAACAGACACGGCAAGTTAAATGTTTGCAAAAAATATTCCCACAGCCTCCAATTTGTAATATTCACCGAAAAATCCAAAAATTAGCATTATGCGCAAAAGCAAAAAGTCACTGAATTTTTCTATTCAGGGAGCTGTGCTTTGATAAACAAATATTTCGGCCGGAAAAGCTGCTGGAAAAACAAAGAAAAAGGTACAGCGTCAATGGCCGGATATTTTGAACAAAAGAGAAAATCCGATGGAAAAATAAGCGTGAGAGGCGCCCATTTTCGGTGGAAGCCAAAACAGCCACCGGTGCAGCTTCCCACAGAGGAAAGCACGCCGTGTAATTCGCCATTTGCGTCATTAACTTTCAGCACAGGTACACACACGCCGCCCATCCATAAAACACACAAAACTTTTACAAATCGCACGCAAACGCTCTTTGCGATGGGAAAAAAATCGGACAAAGGAGAGCGATCTGGGGTCATTTGTTATGCAAGTGGCATTCATTTGATCTATCGGCGGCGACATTTATGAATGACGGGCGTTTTTCTCCAACATGGCTTTTTGCACTTTTTGCTGGCCGTCGGGCCGATAATGTGTTTTCATGGATGTGCCTGGTATACGGTCGCTGCTGCTGCTGCTGCTTTTTGTGAAATATTGAAAACATCGGTCGACGCGGCGGCGATCGAGTTTTATTTTTTGCTCTTGCTGCGATTACATCGCGCACGTAGACCCGCCGATGAGCAAAAGCTGCCGCTTCAGTCGACACAAAAAGCAAAGTTGTGGGCGGCGGTGAAGAGTTTTCGGCCTCGGGCACTCTGACTGATTTTTGTGCTGCTTTTATCTCAAAGCTCCACAAAAAAAACCTTTTTTCTTTTTGCGTAAACGCACATTTCATTAGTGTCGGGTTTCGACAATAATTTTTCAAGGTGTTGCAATGAAAAAGTTAATTTTTAATTGCCTATTATAAAATTGATAAATCAGATTATTAAATAGAGTAAGCCAACAAATTAACAAAATATGACTTAATTGTTGGGTTTTACTTAAATTATTATTTATAATCATGGTTCCAGTAAAAAATTAATAAAAAAAATTTATTTATTGAAGAAAAAATTGACTGTTTGGAACGACAAACGGCACACCGGAGGAAAGCTCGTTCCATCAGGATGTCGAAAATTCCCAGGTTTTTGTGACTTGGTGACCACTGACCTGAGAAAGACGGCGGGAAGCACGGAACGTTGCGTTTCAACAGAAACGTGTTGTTCTTGTGCCTGCGAATCCCATTGTTGCCTATAGAAAAAGGTCTATTATAATTATTATAGGCAAATTAAAAAAATCGAAGTATTTATTATTTTATTGAAATCAATAAAATAAATTACCTTTAAATCCATTCCATAACATATTTTCATCGACCCCAAGTTTTGAGAGTCTGAAACCATCAGAACAAATTTTGATTGTTGCCGAGCTATCTAATTATTATGTTACTCGTCGTTAATTAAGATAGTCCATATTATATTTTTGATTGTTGTTAACCTGGTCTAACTTTCTGTTTATAATACGTTATTTTGCGCCCTTTGTTGTAGTTGGGTGCTGGCCTAGTGCGTTGAGAGAAATCTGCTAGGGTTAGTTCTCGAGCAGCTGGGAGACCAGCTGAATAGAGAGCCCCGAGGTGCGGGTTCAAATCCCCACAGGGCCAGCCTTTTTAACACATTTTTTTACGAACATTGCAATTGTTATTCATATTTCTAATTAAAAATCATACATATTTCAATGAAAAAAAAAATCATAATGAATAAAATTATAAAATGTAGTTATTTACAATAAAAAAGTTTTGAGCACGCTTTAGGAGGACTCGATCTTTAAGGGAACGTCTCTTCAGGCACGTTATTAAATTAGATTAATTAATAAAAAATTCACCATTATGTTGCCCACATGGCTGCAAAAATTTTAATTTGGAAGAAATAAAATTGTTGGGAGGGAAACATTATTATTTGAGGGCAAAAAGGTTGACAGGTTGACATGGGCAAATGGTCATGAGCAAAACAAATGAATGGCGGCAATATTTGAAGACCGCGCATGCGCAATTGAAAAAATAAAAAGTATTAATATTTGGAATAAAACTATGAAAAATAATTTAAATGTTTCGATTTTTTATTTAATTATTAAAAATTGGAATTGCATTAAATTTTTTTTTTTAATAATACCAGGAAAAATTCAAAGTATTGATCTGGTATTGATTGCTTGATTTTTTCAAATAATTATAAATCCTAGAGGGAGATAATACAAAATAGAAGTATTTATTATATTATTTTATTACAATCGATAAAATACACGACCTTAAATCCATGACATATTTTCATCGGCCCCAAGTTTTGCGAATCTCAACAATCGGAGCAAATTTTGATTGTTGTGACTCGTCGTCAAGAATTCTCTTCAAAATTTTATTCATTATAAAATATTTTTAGGGCCTCACGTGATGCATGATTGATTATTGAAATGCTGAAATAATTTTTTTACGAAAGTAATGAACAATTTTGTCATTCGAAAATTTTCAGCTAAATTAAGTTGCTGGTTATTGATTACAATTATTATTTAATGCAACAAAACCCCCTCAATCAATTCACTTACATTCACCAAAGCAAATTAATCTCTCTACAAATTACATGTGTCGTCGTTGTTGGCTGCAATCAGCTCGCCAATCAAATCAATGAACGTTCGCCGCTAATGTAAGCGATTGCGATTAACCTCTGTAATCAGCACCCATCAGCAGCAATCCAATCAAGGAGAGGTTCGTGCAAACCTCGCCTCGAATGAATCGCGGCTGCTGACGACGAGCTCTCTCAACAATTGGAGCGCGCCAGAGATGGAGAGCATATTTGCACGGACGAACAAATTAATGCGACACGTACCAACCGCCCCGTATATTTGCGCGTGTTCGTGGAAATACAGCAGGGTGCGCAAACCAAGTATGCAGATGCCGCGCCGCCTATAGCTCGCTGCTTTCTAACAACTCGCGAATTATGTACAGAATGTTTATGCTTGCGAGCGGCGCGCGAACGAACGAGCTGCTTTGCTTTGGACCGCGCACTTGTCTGAATTCCGCTCTATACGGTCTCTATTTAACCATAAATTCGCTAGCAAACCCGCTGCTGTGCCGCATAACAATGCTGTTGTCTGAGAAATTTACCAACAAAAAGGACGAAAAGCGTGCAATACGTCTCATTCACAGGTGCGCAATTTTCATTTGAAGCTAATTGAAATTTAAGTGACAAAAAAATTTAAATTATTTCCCGTTCTGAGTGGTTTCTTTGGGTTTTTAATTTAAAAAAAAAACCTAGTTCAAATAATAGTTAGTTACATTTTTGATTTTAGGATTTTAAATTATAATTTAAAAATATTTTTAGCATTTTGTCTTATGAAAATGATTTAATAAAAATATAAAGTAGTAAAATAATAAAATTAATTTGCATGCTTTTTTGTTCTTAAAATTTAAGATGCATCAAGATAAATACCTGTTGTTTTGTAATTATTTTTTTTTTTAATTTGGTTGTTTAAAAAATTATCAAAAAGTATTTATGTTAGAAGCCAACAATGTTAGAGAATATTATAGTGTGAAAAACACAATTTTTTTTTATCCACTGTTCAGCTGCTAGTTGAAAAATTAGGTAAACTCTTTGTATTTAATTAATGTTTAATAGCACAATACATCACCATGAAGAAACTGAACTAGGATATGTAGATTTTGAGAACAGTGAATTGAAGAAACATTAAAATATTTATAAAGTGTATGAAAAAATAAGGAACTGAAAATATAAAAATCAGTAGTGAAGTTCAATTAATTCTAAGCTTCACATTTGTTTAAAAATTTAAAAATCATTTTACATTAAAATAATTTATTATTGGAATGACTTGGAAAAATTTTCAGCTGAAAATTACAATTGGATTATTTTATCCAAAAATACATCAGATTTAAAAGACAAAACAGACACTGTGCCAGGCCGTTATTTAATGTTCCGTCTCCCTCCTGTTAGAAGTTCTTACAGCGTTAAAGCACATTCACGCAAACTTCAGCGGGATGATCCCATTTCTTGAATTTTTCTCTCCGGTTTCACCCGACGGCGCACTCAACAGGCGGCAAATTAAATCACGGCAGCGCCACCGGCGTTAACTTTTACTGCGGCAACCACACACGCTCTCTCTTTCGCATA